CTTCGCTGTCATATTGCCTTTGTTCCTGAATACCACATGGCGCTGGGCGCAGGCATGGTCACCATATTGTCCTTGTCTGGGGAAACCATATTGGTTTTTTTCCTGGTATTACCTTTCTGTGGGTAAAACACCTTCTCTTTTTTGTATACTTTTGCTATTAATATTGCTGTTGTTATTGTCTGTGTCTTATTCCATTGCTTTGTGCTTTTAATGAACTATTATCTTAACTAATAATCTCTCCTTTTTTTGTCCCTCCCTTACCAGAAAGGCGTAGGGGAAGGAGAGTGGCTTATTTGGAGTTTAATTTCCTAATGGTGTTAAAAGCAGCCCAATACGCAAAACCCAAAACTTGCATTCCAAGTTAGCTCAACAAATTGCTGGGAATATGTAAGGTTAAGTGAGCTCAAAATAGATTTTTCTAACCAAGTATTTAAATTTAACATCCCAAAGTTGTCTTCATTTCAACAAGTTACTCCAGAGCCTGTTTCTCTTCTTGCTCTCAGTTCCACTACCCAAATGCAGCTAAACAATACCAAGTCCTTCTATTCAAGTTTAGATATATGCCATATTCATATTAGGTGTTCCACAACCACAGTATCTTCTGTTGGAACTCAAGAACAGTTAAAGATAAAAAATTTATAATATCACAATTTAAATCACAGTTTTCATTTGAATATATCTTTAGAATACAAAGGAAGTTGGTTATATTCTGTAGAAGGAAAAGAGAAAGGAGGCCTGCTAGACACATAAGTAACAGGATGATATACTGCAGTAAAATTGCAAAATATGAATATTAAAATACATCTCTGAAGGTGGTTTAATTACTTTGTAGCTAAAAATATACCTCCACTTTGCAATAATATTTCCTTAAAAATAATCAACTAGTGATATTTAAGAGCACACTATGTATTGCCAAGTTTCATTTGGGATTTTAAATGTTTAAGGGTCTCTGAAAAGTTTGTGACTATTTGAAAATATTAAGCCAATGAATTTGAATATGTCAGAAAAGATGAAACTCAGAGCTCTAATGTCTGTTTAGTCTTAATCAAAGGAAAGTAAAAATAAAAAGATCCAAGTAGTCTACATATGTATTTACACTCTCTGTTTATGTATAAAATTATACCAATAAACCAAAGAAAACCTTCCACTAATACATAAATTGTGCATAATTTCATGGGTTTTAAGTTTCTTTGGCAGATGTCTTATCACTCGTAAGAGTAGCTGTTTTTTCATCTAACAGATGAAGAATTAAGATAGGTTAGTAATGCCTGATTAAACTAGCTTAACATTTTGGTAAACAGAGGAGCATAATAAGGGTTCAAAAGGTAAAAGTACAGTACACATTTAATACACTTACTGCAAATAATTTCTGAGAAATATCACATTGGAAATTGAAGCAAAAAACCATAAGAGATAAGCTGAAAACCAACTGTGATTCTTTCCATGCTAAGTATGTTAACAGATGTTTTTAGTACATTTTTAAATACCATAACATTACATAAACTTCTGAAAGACATATGATTAAAATGATGAACAACAAAATCCTCTAAAAGCTCCAAAATATTTTTAGGGGGGTGTTGAGAAACATTCCTTGGATATTAGTTTAGCAGATTGGAAACATCGATTATGTGCTGAAAATATATAAAAAAATTATAATTCATGTTATTTAAAACCCTTCTAGAATAATTTAGCTCAAATACTTATGGCTGAATCCTGCACTGTTAAAGGTAATAAGAGTCACAGATATAATAGGGAACAGGAGCAAGTTATAACATAAAAACACCTGCCTCCAGTATAGTTGCCAATTGAAGATGCCAAATTCCAAAAAATCTGCCTCTTTTCACATGCCATTTTGACAGCTTCTCTCCCAAACCATGCTCTTCCTCAATCCTGATAAATGGATACAATCTTTTTACAGTACTTGACAAATAACTGTTCTAATACAATACGAAAAGAAAAACATTATTTCCTTACTTCACAAATAGATTGTTATATATGAAATATTCTAAGGATTCATAACTCTGTTAAAGCTTTTTATAGACTACCTGTATTTTCCCAACAGAAGAAGGTTGTCTATAGAAATTTTTCTGAGGTTCTGGCACTGTTTCATTATTTTCAGTTATTTTTGTCCTCTGCTACATAGTAAGACGGATTACAGCAAGTCTTAACGAAAAAAAAAACACAACAAAAAACAATCAACCAAAAACCACATTACCCTGAGGGTGGACTGAGCAAACACAAGCCTTTTTATCACCTCTGGGATAACAGTCCCAATTGAATGCACTAGATTAAATTATTTTGCTGTTCTGAAATGTGCTGGTTTGGTGGTTTCCAGAGGGCAGAGACCTCTAATCAAAAAATAAGAAACACATTGGTATAACTGTCTATCAGCTAAGAAGAAAACCTCTTTTCTTTTTCTCCATCCCTCCATACTACAGCATGAGGGTTTTTTTCATACTTGGCAAACTGGGTATCACTGTCAAGGCAATCTATTAAAGCTGTCTTTTAACTTGAACTATGTAAAAATACAGACTTCCACTCATTTCTGTGAGAGTAGAAAAGGTATCAGAACTTAATATGAGTTCCAAGCAGGAAAAGCTACTTGACATTAAGAACTTGTCTACCATTACAAAAACCTCCTAAAACAGTTAGTCTGTAGAATTTTTTTTTTCCCAAAGAGTTATTTCAGTGTGAACTGCCTTGTGAACACTTTAGTTCTAAATGAAAAATACCCTTTTCTGACATGGTACAAACATAGTATATTCAAAAACGTAGAGAAATCTCTTTCCAGAAAAGACTCTTCACATATGAGCTCATATAGAATAAACTATTCAATAATAACTGTTTTAGCAATGATACAATGAAAATCTTTTGCTTGAGTTGGTTAATAATACCAAATAATAGGCTATGACATGTCCACAAAATGAAAAAAACAAACCATACCCAAAACTACATAACTCTGACCCCCTATTTTGCTCTAGCCTGCCAACTTCACTGGTTTGGCTTATGGTTTGGCTGCCTGCAGTCTATAATCACAGATCATCTAGAGCAGTTCGATTCTGCAGAAAACTAGTGAGAAACTGTAGGTAAATCAGTGCCTGTCTCCCATACTAACTTCTTGAAGTAAAATAATATGAAGACATGAGCACGACAGGCCCTGTGAAGAAAGTAACTTGGAGTATTAAATGATATTAATGAACAGCACTTCCAAGCACATTTCATAGGTGCTAAGAGGACAGGTTTTGCATGTGCAAATCTGACATTTACTGCATTTTCAATAAAAATTAAAATCTGCTCTAATACTTATGAAATACTGAAGTTTTTTTAATTCAAATTAATTACAGAAAATGTTTTAAAGTTGTAAGCAGATTCCTAAGATTTACTTTGTTTATTTTCACCTACCTCTGCTTTTCTGAATACACAAAAGAAATGTGCAATGGAAATCTGTACTGATAGATATGCTGGCACAACAATATGTTAAAGTGCATCTTTTGGCAAAAAAAATCAAGCAGACGAAGTATTGTATTAATAGATTTGAAGGACTGTTCTCTTCCTTCTTGTACTACAGAAAGAGTTAATGTGTGAGCGTTTTAGAGACACCCTTAGTGTCACTTTAAACTCCATGTTTTAGATGTAAAATGAAGATACCTAAACTTACCCATCCTTGAGAGCTGTTTTGAGGCTGAAATTAAAAGTTAGTTACAGATTTCCCGTTCCCTACAGGTCTTTTTTTTTCTGTCAGTGAGTCCTTTCATTGACTCCCATCTCACTACATAATTCAAAGGTACACTTCTTCTTGTTTATTCCATACCTCAACAGTACTCTGACACTACACTCTATCCCACTAATATGTCAATGTTACAGTGAACTTGTCCTTTCAACTTATATGCCTGCATGCCTTTTCCCTTACCTTGTCCTTCATATGTTCCACATACTCATCCATATTTCATCTCTTGTTGAAAAATTAACTCTGCATTTCTTCCACTATAATTTCTATTTGACTTACAGTAACATATATGATGATTTTAAAACTCACAAGAGTGCAATTTTCTTCTGCATCAACCTGACAAATCATCACCTCATTTATCCCTTTTGTATGTTGCACAACCCGAAGATCTTCTGTTTCTATATTTTTCACATGATTCTAAGCTTTTAATATTTTCTGTCTGCAAATCACTTCACCTTTATGGAAAGCTATGCTTTAAACAAACAGCTTCTGCACAGAGGAGTGATCAAAACTCTGCATTGAAAAAGCAATTACATACAATCACGTAATTATGTCATGAAAGTTTCCCTTTCGTATGATTTTTTCTGAAGTGCTGATTCTTCCCTTTGGAAATTAGCACATCAGATTTACAACTGAAGAAGAGAAAGTACAAAATATACTACATCAGTAACAGATTCCTCTCCTGCTTTACATTCCTTGGAACAAGAAGTTGTTACCAGGTAGTATTAACTCTAACTTACTGTACTTTCACACAATTAGAAAGCATAAATGTTTGTTTGTGTGTTTGTTACAACTAAAATCTGCATAGTAATCTTTTGTGATAGCTCTGATGTATGAATCTGTGTCTGTTTCATGGACACATCAAAATAATCTCCTTTAAATGTCTGACATTTTGAAATAAGTAGGGGTAAAAGACTGAGGAGTTTGTGTTTATTTAAACCTGGAGTAAATAGTTGTTATTTAATTATATATTTCAGCAGTACGAATAAGTTAGGCTAAAAAAAAAAATACTATGACATGACAGTGTTATCCAATGAATTATAATGTGGTTTTTGTAAGTTACATAAGTTACTTTCTCGTACTTTAAAACGTTTTTCATCACAATTCTGACACAGGCTAGAATTCAACTACAGTAGCATGGTTAAAACATAAAGCTGTAATTATTAATTTTAGGTCTCTCTCTCCATAGAAAATAATCAAGTATATTGGAAAAAAAAAGTAACATAATTAAAATAATATCTAACTACAAAGAACATAAAATAAAACTACTAACCCACAGCGTGAACTGTTCCTCTACACTTCTTTGAAATCTTGTTTGCTTTAACTATATGTAGAGCATTTTCTTTGAACTGCAGCTCACAAAGTCTTTCAAGAAGAACTGTCATTTCTTCTGTGATGGTATCCAGATAAGTTTCATTAATAAACTTCAATGATAAAGAAGGATCAATAGTTCCACTTAGTATATACAAATCTTCTTTTATCATTGTGCACAATGTGGGTATGGAACTTTGGTAACCATGAACCACCTTATCAAAATTTGTTTCACCACAACTAGATAAAATACAGTTCTGTAGAAGATCGCTAACCAGTTTATTCTGCATATTTTGATACTTCGTTAAGACTTCTGATTCAGGATAAAGAAACAAAAGTTGCTGTATGCACTGAGTTTTAAACTCCATTTGTTGTTGCAAAGCAGTAGCGTTTGCTTCTTCTTGACTTTGCAGTCTATTTATTAAAAATTGTCGAAGATGCAATCTCACATCATCCCAAAGAGACTTCACATCCATAGCTGAATCATCTTCAATGGTATGAAGGGAAGATGTTAACTCAAAAGATGTCCCAGTCGGAGTGCAGGGAAATGAGACACCACACTGACTAGAGAGATCCAGAAGGAAGTGAAGTACCATTTCTTCTTGATTTTGCTCATTCTTCAGCAAGCTTTGCTAAAAATGGTAAATCAGACAGTATTTTAATAATGTTTTATTAATCCTGGTTCATTAAATGAACAGCTTCATGCCAGAGCAAAAACTGTGTTTCCAATACTAATTGCCTTACAAGCAAATAAAATAAACTGCTATATAAACAACAGAAGTTATAAAACCTATGGAAAAGAGTATTTATGTGCCAATTAATTTCCTTGTCTACCTCTACCAATAACTCATACTCCTCTTCCCATCTTTCTTATATCCCCAACCTCTTTTCTCAATCAATTCTAGACCACAGTTCAAGGGAAACCCTTTGCAGTCTGTTTATTCTGGTCACACAAACATCTTTGAAAAGAAAATTTTATGAAAAATTATTTAATATTTACACAGATAATGACAGGTCCCTTTCTATAGCTCAGTAGGCAACCGTCAAAAAGGCCATTCTAAGGATAAAATAGTCTTCCCAGGATATCCTTAAAGAACTAAAACTGAAAACTTGTTAAGAATTAAAGAGGCTTAGATCACACAGGACAGAAGAATAAGAAGCTGTGTATCCCATCAAACCAAGATGCAGACTGATACATAAACAATATAGCGATATCCATGTACATCTCCACTATATGGGGTGGAGAAGGAAGTCAGTTAACAAAGCAGGTGAAATCACATGGATGTGTATGCTGTTCCTACTTCACTCAAGTCTGAAGAGCTCTCTCTTGGTCCAGGGCCAGAATCTCTGACCTTAGAGCTGCTTCAGACTCAAGAAGTTATGCAGCACATAGCAGGTCCTCTTGTCACAGCTCAGTGCTGCTGTCACAGTAAACAAGAAAAGTGAGTGAAATTGCTGCTACTCTTAATTTTCAGTTGGCAAGCCCTGAGTGAATAAGGATCTAGAAGCCCTCTCACTTGCTCCCTCACCTTCCATTGCTTCTCTCCAACAGAGAAAAGCACTGTGGCAAACCACCAGAGGGGAATTATTTCCATTCGTATCCTTTATCTGGGTCTCCTAGCTGTACTCCATGCTATAATGCAAGGCTGGTAAAGAAACTGTTGGCAATCTCCCACCTTCAGAATTACTGATTTATTTAACTTGCAGTATTTGAGGAAATTATTAGTTTTATTTCTGTTGTCCTTTTGAAAGAGAGATAGATAATTCAAATTTGAATGTTGAATAAATACAACTATTTCCAAATAAAAATCTTCAGTTTTTCCACTGTAGCAAGCTTTTCTCCATAGATAATTATGCTTTTGAGTCACAAAAATTTTCAAAATCAGAACTTGTATTTCTTTGTTCTGGATGTTACAAAACTGTTACACTCTTATGCAGGAAAAGAAGAGTTTAATCTTTCTACTGCCCTCTATTCTGAAGTGTTTCATGATAAAAATTAAAAAATAAGACACTTCCACCACAGTACCTAATTCTGGACATTAGACAGGAAGCATGATTCCTCTTATAAAGGAAAGTCTTAAAATTAATAGACTACCTATTTTCTTCCATGTTAGATCTTTATTTCAGAATTAACCTTATTAATTTTTTTACTTACAAGCAGAAAAGACATGTGGAAGACAGAATAATAAAGGAAATTAGCAGTCAAATATCATCCTATAAAAGCATGTGCACATAATAGAAATATATGCAACTAGTTAAAATCTTAAATCATACATATCAATAGGCATATACATAACACTGATCTGATTCTCTTTTATTATCTACTGAAGTATTCTATAAGGTTTTCTGGCCCTAAAGAAAACATGTCTCAGAGGGTAAACCAAAACTCTGATCACTAACCACCATGTTGAAGAGTTGAGTCTTCACAGGTAGACTTCTGGAATTTAAATATTACTTTTTTTTAATGAATCATGCTCAAATACTATATTCTGAAATGTACTAAACAAGAGAAGCTGTGAAAACAGTGAATGTAACTGATGTCATTGGAAGATTAATCCAAATGATCTTCTAAGCAAACCCCTACTGCTGTTTTTCAAGGCAAAGCAGAAATATTTTTATATATCTAAGGATTGTACCAAGGCCTTTGCAATTTAAACTACGGCATTAAAAATAGGGAGCTTGCAGATGCCATTTTAGATGTAGTATTACTCAGAAAAAGAGCTCTGAAAACAGTGTCATCAAGTCTCTTAAACCACTGCCTATATTGATGTAAGCTTTTCTATTTAAAAATTAACCTGTAAAAATACTTCAACACATAATGCCAAAACTGTTCCAGAGAAAAAGATCCAAATTAGTATCCTCCAATGGTTTGGAGAAAAATGAAAAGTTCCCTTATAAGCACAGAAAGTTAGTGACAATAATATACAAAAAACCAGTTGCAGTCTACCAACTGGACTACTAGCTACTATAGACCTACCATATCAATATACAAATACAATAAGATTAAGACTTTGTTAAAAAAAGAATTTGTCATTATTTTAGCAGGAACAGAATTTAATAAAGATGTGCTTGTGCTCATATTCAGCTTTTAAATCTTTAGCATTACAAGACAGTACACAGAAGGACAAAATTTCACATAATTAACATTTTCAGCCTTCATGAAGAAACTCAGTATTTTCCTAAGAGTTCACAAATACATGAGAATAACAATAAACCTAAATACAGCACCCCAGTCAAAACACAGAAAGAAGTTTGCACTGTTCCAGCAGCTTAAAAGATAAATAAAATTCTTAACAAACAAAACACACGCAATAAGGGATAACAATGAATAGGGATATTGTCCTGAATTGAAGGAAGGTTGCTGTTATTGAAGATGTATTATATATATTTAATTAAAAGCATGCAAGAAGAAATTAACTGAGTAATTAGTTCAATGTGTGGAGAGATACCTTTAAGAAAGGTTAGATCATAATAATCTCATTAATGCTGAATATTATTGAAAATAATTTACTGCTTAAGGAACTAAAGATTATCTACTGTGAATATAACTTCTTACAGATGGACTGTCTCTGCTAATACAGATACACTTTTCATCTGTATTCTCATCTATACAACAGGCTGGATTATCTAAGAAGCCATGAGCCTGGAAGTAGTGATGTCCAACTTCCTGAGCTCCAAAAATGTTTTCCTGATAAACTGTGCAGAATCAAAACTTTAAGGCTTCTCACACTTTGCTGCCTGTTTAGCAGTCTGCCACAGATCCATTCTCAAGGCTTAACTGGATTCTACAGCTCACAGCAAGACTGTCATGCAGTTAGTAAGCTCCTGGGCATATGAAGAGCTAGAAAGCATGTTTTGTGTAGGATATTTCAGAGATGGGGACATTTCAGTGTTTCCCAAACAAATGCCGCCATCTGGTGTTCAGGTATATGGCTCGAATAGACCCTGCAGAAAGAAGAAAGTAGGGAATGGACACAAGTAAGTCATCATTGCCATGCCACCTGCTGAGGGATTTAAGTAAGGATCTAACTGGACTAAGAGGAGTGACAAAAGACTTCCTAAGTCAAAAACTTCATGGGTCAGCATTTTCTGGGATTCTCTAATTTCATCTAGATCAAGTATGACATGTTGCAGTGTCTGAAACTTTCGAGTGGAGTGATTAATTAACAGCAACATTCCTTTGATCAGCTGTGTCAGAAAGCAACAAAATCACTTCTTCACCACATGAACATTAAAGACCTGGTATTTCTAGAGATTACTTCCTCATTTGGCACAGCTCAATATCCAGTGGATTCAAAGGTGACTGAAAGAGCTACAAACAGTTCTAAGTGTTAAAAAAACAGGAGGTGATTTGATGAAGCTTGCACTCTAGCCAGAGAAAACACTCCTCTACAGCAATTTTCCTCTGCCATTACAGCTAATCTTAGCCTAAAGGTGTTCATGGTCTAAATCACATGGAAGTGACAAAGAATAATACCCTGATCAGTGTTTACTTGTTTTGACACTTCTACATATTTACATCATATCACACACTCACATATATATATAGATTATATATAAACTTGCAGGTTTTCATTTACTAAGGTATTATCCTTCACTTATCTAGCTAATTCAATTTTCCAGACCTCCATGTCCATTCATATATTCAGATGTAAATTTTTAATAAAAATTTTGGGAAAAAAAACATCCTCTAAAATAATGGAATTTTTCATTGAAGTGAAATCTGATTTCTGACTACATCCAATTGTACAACCTGCCAGGACAATGGATGTAGCTCCAACATTTCTAATTAAAAAGAGCTGAATCACAGAATCATTTTGATTGGAAGTGACTTTTTAGAGGTCATCTAGTACAATCCTCCTGCAATAAGCAGCAACATCCTCAAACTGATCAGGCTGCTCAGAGGCCAGTACGACCTGGCCTTGAACGTCTCCAGGGATGGGGCATCTACTCCCTATGCCTCCAGCCGCATAGAAAGTTGGAAGTTTATGCTTAAATAATGCATAAATAAATGCATAAATAACGTACACTAGATGAGTTAAATTCATACCGAAACAAGTGAAGAACAGGCAGAAACACTAAGAGTTTCAGTATAGACAGTAACTTCCAGTGTTTATTTACCAACATGTGTTTTATGAAACAATCCTAGCAGTGCTGAACATATGGCAGCATCTGTGAAAAGATTTTGTCCCAAGATTGTTTATTTAAGGCATGATCAAAAGGAAACATAACACCCTGCTGCAGACATGAAAACAACACTAAGCCTTATAATACAATTTCTGAACTATCATCACCACAGTGAAGACCTAAATGAGAAAACTAATTGAACCATCCACACTCCCACCTCCAATTATACAACCAACTTTCTAAACATAAAAGTCTTTAATAAAATTTTTTTACCAGGGTCCTAAGAAACTCCGTCAGCTCTCCATGGTCTGTAGAAGAAGATCTGAGAGAACTAAAATTGCAGTTATTTAGCCACTGAATGCAGTCAGTTGTGCTTTGTAGAATTTCATCAGTACATATTTCATTTACTTCTTTTTGCAGGTCTTTAAGACACTTTTCTATGCTGAAAAAAAAAAGTGAAGAAAAAGAAAAAACATAGGATTTTTCTTCATTATTTGGAGATAAAAGCATTTTTATTTAAAATTTAAAATTTTATAATTTTATGTGTTTAAAAAATAAAAACTACTTAAAAGCAATTAACACTAGCCTTTCTTATTTATAATTAAATTACTCTCACAAAATAAGGCCTGAATTTGCAGGATTAACATTTAGGTACAGTTGAGCTAGAGCTAAAATTTCCTTCAGGCAAGACTGTACCATCCTCAGCAAGTCTAAGTACAGCTTCCCTTCTCAAACAATCTTATTCTTTTTAACAAAGTAGTTAATGAATAAGACACCATCCAACTTAAGATCTGGTCCTTGGTGTTTTATTAGCTAAAGCAGAGACTATAAACTGAATTCTGCTTCTTTAGCAATCAGCAGCTGTTTTATAAAACCTAACATATATTAAAAACTTCCTAAAGACCCACTGACATCACGGAAAATGTCGAAATGAATTTTAGAGTCAGTTGTGCTGAGAAAGCAGATCTTTTCTTTCCTGTTTTGTCATTAGAATATTTGAAAGAGAACAGCGTTTGTTTCAAGGAGCTGATCCACTCCTTAACATTCATCTAGAATCATGTTTATGAAACCCTGTTTATGAAACCAGATGTGTTTGGTAGGTTATTACAGCAATTTCAGTTGCAAAGATCACAAGAACAACTGAATATCCAGAGTTATTTTATTTCTATTTGTGTGGACACTTACGTGAAAACCAAACAAAGCAAAAAAATCCATAAACAATCTAACTCTATATATTTTCTACAAAACCAACTTTTCAGTAGTTCATAACTACATATTTTTTCAAAAGCAATGCTTAACATAGTTTCAGTTAGGAAAACAGTATTGACTAGATCTAGGCAGAACTAGGTTTAATTACCTAGCCAAGAATACCAATTCTAAACTTGACAAATGGTTAGCAAAGTATCTTTTTAACTTGTAAAATCTGTTCTCAGGACTATGAAACTAAACACCTTCTTCATACACCTTGACTCCTGGGACACTATCAAAGGCTTTTACTGTGGTGTGCTGATGTGTCTCATTCAAACATACCCAAATAGATTACAACATTGTGCAACATAAAAGTCACCATGTTGGTAAATCTGTGCCAATCTGCTACAACTACAAGCCAGTTTTTACACTCATCTTTGACATATGAATCTGTGTGCAAGATAATAAACTACAAGCTATGAATAGGCTACAGCCTTTTTAAGACCAGACATTTTGGTTATTTGCCCCAATACTGATAAGGGGATTAAATGGATAGATTTCAGTGCCTCCCCTCCACTTCACCGCCCCCTGCCCCCCAAAAAAGCATAAATCATGTTAAGTGTGTCCATTTTATTTTATCTTTTTATCCCAAAAATTTAAACATTTAATTAGGACTAAAATTGTTTTTGACTGAATATTTTCATCCCATTTACTTACAGTACACAGTGTAGTGTATGTAAACAAGATATCAAAGCCACTGCTATATCCTTTTAAGATTTTTGTCAACATTTAGTAATACAAGATCATGGTTAACTATACATACTTAGTGCTTCACATGAATTACACGAATTAAATATTTAGGAACTCGTTACTTCTCAAAAAATAAAAATAATGTGTATTATTTGGGTTTAGAAGATGAGCATTTTAAGTAAAACATTTCAGCTAAATATGATTAAAATTATTCTCACTACATAGGTTAGTATTTAAAACTATAATTTTATATCACTGTAGAGAGAACAAGACTTTGATTTCTTTGGTTTAGAAAAGAAATTTGCTGAAGTTTTAGTAACTTTAGTAAAAAATATGTAATTTCGATGTGAAAAAATATGCTTAATGTATTTCATTATTTTTAGTCTTAAAAGTACAATTTTAAAAAATTAACGTAAATTGCTAAATTCCTTTTTTCCCAATAACGCTTCTTCTATCCACGCTTGCTACAAGCACACTGATGTCTAAGAAGGCCAGTGTGAGATAGACAAGTCCGGTTGCAAAAGGCACAGCAGAAAGTCTCCTTAGGTGGTATTGGCAAGAGACGGTTCTTTCTGTGTTGTCTTTTCTCCTCAAGAATGATTCTGCGTGTGTTCTCAAAAGAAGCAGCAGCATTTTAGATAGTGTCTCTGCATGTCTCCTAAATGGAGGCCAGAGGAGACCAATGATGATGATCAGTATGGCCAAAGCTGAGATGTTTCAGGGAGTCCTTGTATCTCCTCTTTGGGGCTCCTCTCTTGCAGCAGGCAATAGCAAGTTTGCCACAGAGCATGATCTTAGGGAGGCGGTGGTCCTTCATCCTGGAGATGTTCCCTGCCCATCACAGCTGTGTTCTCAGCAACATGGCCTCAATACTCATAACTGCTGCCTGTTCAAGAACAGATGCATTCGTCACATAATCAGTCCAGTGGATATTTAGGATTGTACGGAGACAGCGTTGATGGAAGGGTCACAAGTGGTGGCGGTAAATGACCCATGATTCAGAGCCATATAAAAGAGTAGACAGCACAATGGCTCTGTAAACACTGATCTTTGTATTTTTCTTCGGGTGTTTATTTTGCCAGACTCTTTTATGGAGTTTTCTGAAAGCTCTATACACCTTTGCTAACCTGTTGTCTCTCTCTCTCTGTCAATCTTACCGTCCGAGGAGATGAGGCTACCAAGGTAATTAAACTGTTGGACTGATTTGAGCTCTGATTGGCCAATGGTGATATGGGGATGATGGAAGACTTCCTGAAGTGCAGGTTGATAGAAAACTTCTGTCTTCTTTAAGCTGACTTCCAGCCCAAAAAGCTCAGCAGCATCTGCAAAGCAGAATGTTAAACACTGCAGAGTTGCTTCTGTGTGGGCAACAAGGGCAGCGTCATCAGCATAAAGCAGTTCCCGGACAAGGTGGTTTAAGGTCTTAGTGTGGGCCTTCAGTCACCTTAGGTTGAAGAGGCTTCCATTGGTACGATATCGAATGTAGATACCGTCCTGATCATCGAGGTCTGCCGTGGCCCTTTGGAGCATCATGCTGAAAAGGATTGTGAATAGGGTTTGGGCAAGAACGCAGCCTTGTTTCACAGCATTGGTTGTTAGAAAGGGCTCAGAAAGTGCATCACCATATCTGACTTGGCCGTGCTGATCCATGAAGCAAAATGATCATCTTGAGGAACTTGAGGGGCCAACTTAAACGTTCCAAAATCTGACACAGACCTTTTCTGCTCAAAGTATCAAAAGCTTTGGTGAAATCAACAAAGGTTACTTAGAGGCCTTTGTTCTGTTCCCTACACTTCTCTTGCAGTTGTCTGAGAACAAATACCATGTCTGTGGTGCTCCTGTTGGCTCTGAAACCACATTGGCTTTCAGGTAGAATTCCTTCTGCTATAGCGGGTATTAGTCTGTTCAAAAGTATTCTTGCCAGGATTTTGCCAGCAATGGAGAGCAGAGTAATACCTCGATGATTTGAACAGTCTGATTTATCTCCTTTCTTCTTACACAAGGTGATGATGACTGCATCACGAAGGTCTGATGATAGTTCGCCTAGTTCCCAACAGCGCACCACAAACTTGTGAAATTTAGCATGGAGTGCTTTGCCCCCATGCTTCCAAACTTCAGGTGGAATTCCATCAACCCCAGCTGCCTTGCCAGTTTTCACCTGCTGCATGGCCTTAAGAGTTTCTCCCATAGTAGAGGTAATATCTAATTCATTTTTCATCAGTTGTTGTAATGTACTGAATGTAATGTACTGAATTGCTGAGCCTTGAACTACACGGTTGTTACTGAAAAGAGTCTGAAAATGTTCAGACCATCAATTCAGAATGGAAATTTTATCTGTCAGAAGCATTTGACCATCTGCACTGAGTAAAGGGCTTTGAGCCTGCACAGTGGATTTTTTAGTGAGGCACAGCATGCGCAGAACTGGTCCCATCCTTTACTCCTAAGGTTCATCTGTCAGGGCCTAGAGAGCTTGGATGGTGACAGCGAAGTCCTCAGGATGCAGGTTTAATTAGAGTATCCTTCTCTTGGCTCGCTTGCAGCTTCTGCCCAGGAATGGTTTGTTTTGGAATTATAGCATCTTGGATGGGTGTCTAGGACAAAGGAATGTCCTTGGGTTTGAGTGTAGGAGGCTGGGGGGTAAAAGTAGGGATAGAAAGGCTCATCCAAATCATTTTAGTGGGGAAGAAGCTTGTGTGCCCTCATGAGGTTGCAAGCTGTGCTGGCAGTGGTATATGCCTCCAGTAGGGTCTCCCATGCCAGACAGGTCAAAACTGAAGGGTCAGATAAAATGTGTCCCTGGGTAGGATGGGCTCACCAGCCTTCCGGCAGTCATCCTAGAAGGACAACTCTAATTCCAAACCTGGGCAGATGGAGCTTGCTTTGCCCTGTAAGGCCATCCATTCAAGAGAAGGATACTCTAAAAAAAATATACAAAGGGAGTGCAAATTTAACAGCCCTCAATTAATTTTTCTTCCACAGATGATTCAACCTTTTTTTTTGAACTTGCAGAACTGTTCAGACACAAACAGAAAAAAAACAGTAGCCAAACTACTAAACAAGAGGTGGAATATAAAAGCTCAAAGAAAAAAAATACCTTTCTCTGTAGCAAAGAAATCTGATTGTTACGCTTCTATGGTTCTTTTTTAGACTGAATGATTTTTTAAGAATTAAACTTTTAGTCACACACAAGGAGTACTTGACCGCGTCATTATTTGTGGCTAGTACTATTAGCATACCACTATGCAAGTGGAAATGATATCACTTAAATACCTTCTTTTTGTAGGTGAGGGTCTGATGTGTTTTTTTTTTTACAAACTAAAGCAAAGTTCTTTGATGTTATCTGCGTCCACAATGAAAGTGTTTTTCTGAAGTAGCATTTGGTAAGGACTCACACTGCAGAGAGACAGTCTCAATATGAGACCCCCTAAGAACTCTTAATTATTAAGTTGTGACAATTTTTACAAATAACTTAATCATGTGGAGAGACTGCTTTTTAAGTGGCTG